AAAAAAAAAGTCACTTGCATTTTTCTAGAAAAAGGAGGTGATATGTTTTCCCATTGTAAAGGTATTTTGGATTTGTTTATTGATATTCTGCATTTTATAAAACCATTTAATATAAATGATGTCTATTTGTAATGTCATTTCTCACTTGTTCCTGGCATGAATTTCATTTGAAAGTTTACATACTTTCGATGAACTACATTTAGCACACTCTTTCTTCCATAGGAAATTCCTTTATCGGAAATTTTATCTCTGGAACCAGCTAAAACTTCGGCTTTAATTACTAATGGGGCCAATCCTCATTGTTTTGAAATCACTACAGCAAATGTAGTGTATTATGTGGGAGAAAATGTGGTCAATCCTTCCAGCCCACCCCCAAATAACAGCGTCCTCACCAGCGGCGTTGGTGCAGACGTGGCCAGGATGTGGGAGATGGCCATCCAGCACGCTCTCATGCCGGTCATTCCCAAGGGCTCATCCGTGGGTTCAGGAACCAACTCTCACAGTGAGTCTGCCAGTCTTCTAACTAGCATGATGCTTACTCATCTACCTACCCCTGGCTTAGGAAACATACGTCCTACCTTTCCCAAGAACAGAATGAAGAAAGACTCCTTGGGATGGGAGGATTTAGTGTATTGGAGAACATAGGGTCTGTAATAAAAGCTGCTCCATATACTAATGTATTTCATTCATTAAATTATCTTATTTTATTGTTTCTGTATTAAAAAGTTAACAAATTCATGTAAACCCTGCATATTAGGCAATTATAGACCTCTAGAGCTATTAGTCATAAAAGAAGTTATGTAGTCAGCTTGAGCTTGACATGAAATGCCAGAGTCTCACTATTGGCAAATCTGAATTAATATATTTTCCCAAAACCACCTAACATGGTACTTTGTGCAGGGTACTTGATGTGCAGAGTACTTGGTAACTCTTGCTAATTTTATTCCAGAAAAAAATCTCTATTCTTTAGTAGAATGAGATAGATTTTGCCGAATGCAACCAGGATCAAATATTGAGGGTGAATTTTAAAGAGAAATTTTAGAGGAATATCTGTATAAGAATGGGATTTAAAATTTCATAATGGTTATTAACAATGAAACCTGTGAGTTAACCTGTTTTTTACATTACAATGTGTTATCTGTTGATCTATCACAAATTTTTTATTTTATTTTCTATTTTTTAAGTTTATCTCTATAGCTGACATAGACATTAATAGAATATATATGCCTGTGTTGGTGCTAAACACTGTACATGAGATCTCTATTTTAATGCTTAAAACAACTCCAACAGGTAGATGTTAATGATTTGCTTATTTTACAGGAAATCAGTATATAGAGTGATTAAGTTGTCTGAGCTTGTCCCAGAATTAGCAAAGACAATATTTGAACTCAAGTCTTTCTGATTCCAAACTCTATTAAATTGATAACATGCTATTTTTCAAAACCAAGAACAGTGATTCTATAATTTTAAAAAGAATGAAATACTCTAATAGACATTTTTATAGAAAAATCAAATTGCTATGATTTATTTAAAACAGTCCTGCAGGGTGATTGTTAAACATGTATTTACTTGTTTTGCTATTACCTCTCTCACTGACTTCTTGTGTATGTATTTTTTAACATGCACTTTCAGGAGATATTTCTGTGAGTATTTCGGTGTCAAATTGCCAGATTCAAGAAAATGTGGTGAGTATGTACCTACTAATATAAAACTTGGTAATGTGATTATTGGAAAAATAAGAGCATCATAAAATAGATTTTTATTTATCTCACATTTTAATTTTTTGGTATTTTCTATGAAACAAAATAGGATCTATTTGGATATTTTTCTTCTATAAGATTTTAGAAACATTACATTATATAGATTCATTTAGTGATTTTACTGTCATCTATTTTATAATATATTATTCATCTCAGATGGGCAATTATAATGTGAAACCTGATTTTTCACACATTTGCCCTTCTTGGTACTGGAATTTTAATGGTTGATGTTACAGTAAAGTAAATACACAAATTAAATAAAATAAATTCCTTGATTTGCATGAGTGGTGTAAACATACCATTGTTCCCATTCCTTGGTTGCTACCTGTGAGTGCTGTCATATGGAAAAGAGTTGCAAGTACTCTTGTAGTGGCTTATACATATCAAGGAGACCCCAAGGAAGTTGAATAAATTAGGTTTTCTGGGTCCACATTCTAGTACTCTAGTATTCGAGTACTTTAGTACTGTCCTGTGCCACATAACTTCATCCTTTCAGCTTAGTTTTTGAAAATTATCGATCAGACATATTATGAAATATCGTACACTCCGTGACTCTGTCATATGTTTGCTTTATGTGTTATACTTTGTCACTGTGGCAAGTAGCCAAAAAATAATATGGTCTTTCCCACCTCATCCTTGTGACCAGGACCTTTTGCTTTGTTTTGCTTCTACACCTATGAAAAAAGAAAGCAGTTTACAGCCTTACTTACCCTGATCTGAGTTTATTTTTTATAGAATAAACTCCATGAAACTCTGTTCATCACGACTATAACTTTACAACCTTTGCTTGAGTGGCATAAACTAAACAAGAAGCCAAAGATTAGAGAGAATTAGGCAAACTTCATAGTGAAGGGTAGATGAATTCTTGTGCTGTCAACCACGAGATAGATTTCTAAAGACCTGCAGGTTTCTGTTCCTCTTGCTCAGCCAGAGAAGACTCGGGAAATTCAAGTTACTTGATAAGCTTCTGGGGAAATTCCAGATAGCTGTGGCTCATTCCACCCTGTTCATCTACCGTTGTTCACTGAAAATTTGGGCCAGCCGTTGATCAGAGAAAGTCTAAAGAACACATCTGTTGTCAGATGGAGTAGCATGGACTCAGAATACTGAAATAGTAGTGATATGTTTTCTTGTCCCCCGACTGCCTTGAACTCACCCTGTGGACATTCTGAAGGGGTCACGAGATGGAGACGACTTGAATTGTTTTTTAGGGCGAAGGACAACGGAAAAGGATAGGAGTGTATAAGATACACAGATATTAGGATTTGATGTAAAGGACTTTTGCTGGAAAGACTAATGTTGGAATATAAGCGTGGAGAATAGGCAGAAAATATGATAGGATGTAATAGGAATACATAAAGTAAAAGAGAATTACATTGTGCTTTTGTGAACAGGTTTCTAAGGAACGTGCAGATCTTTAGAAATTTGTCTCGTGATTTGCAGAAGAAGAATTCATCAAATCACAGACTCTAAAACATATTATTCAGCAATTATATCAAAGATAAAAAAGTAGACTTTTGGAACTTGTTAGCTTCAGAAGATGGAAGAAAATGGAAGAGTTTAGATGAGAATCTCATAATGGGTTATCATTCTTTTGTAGTATCTCTGGCTCTCTCACAGTGATTCAGCCCCCGATTCAGCCCCCTCCTCCTGCAGTTTAGGTTTATCTGGATGTGGGTAACTCACCATCCTAGGACTCACAGACATGTGACTGGGGACCATGATTATTTAACGAAATTTCTCAATAATCAAATCCCTTTTTGAATACTTACAGTAAATGGCGTTATGTAGTTTTAAGTCACATTTTTCCGTATTGAAACATAGTTGATAGCACATTAGAAAATGTTGGCACTTAAGTTCAGAACAGTTTACAAAACATATTACCTTAATTAAAGAGTGTGCTTTCAATATTATAGTCATCTTGCAAATTTCCTCTAGCATTTACAGTATAATTATTTTTTAAATATTTAAGATTTACATTCTATTTAATAAAATTATATAGCTTATTAGAACTGATGTTTTGCTCCTGCTCATGTTTGTTTTTCTTTGGACTTGCACCTATAGGACATCAGCACAGTATATCAGATTTTTCCTGATGAAGTACTGGGTTCTGGACAGTTTGGAATTGTTTATGGAGGTAGGTTAGTTCAGTAGATATTTTTGTTAACTTAAAATTTTAGCTACTATGTTTAGAAAAATAATGTTTCTAAGAAAAACTTAAAGGACAAGACCTATGTGTATATATTTGTGTGTTATTCTCTGTGTTTTACCTTTTTAAACATATTTTTGTTAACTTAAAATTTTAGCTACTATGTTTAGCAAAATAATGTTTCTAAGAAAAATATAAAGGACAAGACCTATGTGTATATATTTGTGTGTTATTCTCTGTGTTTTACCTTTTTAAACATTTCTTTTGAGATAGTTACTGTTTGGAAAATGGGTATATTTCTGTTTTGAAAGAGGAAGTATTCTCGTCCTGAAAAACTCTCTTTTTCTTAAATATTGACAGACTCTATACACAATACTGAAGCATTTTGGTTTGTTTAGACAAAATATTTAGAAAAAAAGGAAGTTGTAATTCATAAACAAGTTAATTCCATTTCCTTTCAGAATATTTGTTCAGAATTCTGCAGAAGTTCATTCATGTTACTAGGCAAAGAATCCTTTAACTTTTCTAGTATCATTAACATTGTATCTGCTTCATTAAGATTTGAATTTTTAAAAAATTTTTGAAGTGAAATACAAAGTTTTTACCTTTTTTCTTATTCTCAAGCCTTTTGGTGAATTTATTATTTTACCTTCTGCTGTTTTAGATTTTATCCAGTTAAATAGTACCCTTCAGGCCTCTAACATTTAATATTAATGTATTACCTGTCCTGTAAAATGACATCATAACTTTCAATTCCTTAATATGTTCAGTAACAAATTATCTTTTTTGTGTGAGGACAGGTACTCTGAAATAATTACGGTGTGCCATGCAATTTTATTATCTTCATATGATATCGTACTTTTTAATTTAAAAGTGAATTGTGTTCTACTTTACAAAGAAATTTTATTTTTTATAAAGTGGTCAAATGATTTTTTTGATGGAAAACCCATCAGTGAGTCGGCAACCATTGTACTGTTTGTTAATGCATAACATTGTAATGGGGAAACCAAATATTAGTCAGATTATTGCTCTACAGTAATAATTGCATGCAAAAAAAATCATGGTAGAGCATGGTAGATATATGTAGCTGCATATGGTGCGGAGGTGAGGCAGGAATAACAAATGAGATTAGAGAGACCAGCAGGTGCCAGATAATTTGGAACATCTAACATGGAAAGACCAGGCATAAGAGGAGGCCTTAAGACTAGACACATACGGGATGGGGAAGATGAAAGAAGCTGTGGCCTTGAAGAGAGTAGTTGCTATAAAATGACTGAGTTGAAGCAGAAATTACAGTGAGTCAAAAAGTAAGGGGTGATGTTAAGGAAGTAGAGAATGTGAAAACAAGGCAAGTTGGTAGTGAAGGGAAGCAGTCTGCAAGGACTTAGAAGGACTAGTGACAGTGAGACGTAAGGTGAAGGAACACTAGATTTACAACAAATATCGGAATAATGGAATTTCAAGTTAGTGTGTATGTGACCAAAAAGTTTAGTAATTAGATCCATTTTTCATTTTCACTTTCAGATTATTTTTATTTTGCATTTTCAGATTCAAGCTTTGCTCAGTGGTACTACTTTGGAGGTTTATCCAAGGCACTATTATTACTAATTGAAAACTTTTTCCAATATATTTTCAGATTCAATCAATGCTACTATATTCTGTGCCTACTGCAACATAGACTGAAGAAGTTAAGAGCTTGGGGGTGCCCCATAGATTCCCTAAAAGGTTTGTTGTGAGAATTAAATGGGTGTAATTTATGTAAAGGGCCTGTCATGTTAGGATGATGATGACAGTGATGGTGATGATAACTAACATTTTTTGAGCGTGCATATTTACCTGAGTACTTTGGGTACTTTACATGTCTTCTTTCATCTATTTCTCACAACAACCCTGCCATTGAAGTTAAGGAAACTAAAATTCAGAAAGATTACACAACTAGTAAGTGAAGGAGCCAAAATTCTTTCTCCTATAACATGCATTACTTTATCAGGACTTTAAAATTATACTTTCTTAAGGGGAGCTTTTTGCTGGTTGTATGAATATTTTCTATACTAAGTAGTTCAATATCCTGTTCCTAAAACATATATTTTTATGAGAAAATGTCAGGCTATTGATACATATAGTTTTTAATGCCCCTATTCTTTTGTGTTCTAAGTTGTGACTAATTTTAAAGCATGTATTTGAATTAGAATAATGAAACTAATAAATAAAGTCTTTATGGATATGTTAGTGCTCTTTAGAAACGTTAATTTATTCAGTGAAACATTTTATCCTTCCTATAAATGTCCTTATAAATTTTGATGTTTTTAAATATACTCGTAGATGATATTTAATAACATTATCCTAATGTTTCCCTTTTATTTTAAAGGAAAACATCGTAAAACAGGAAGAGATGTGGCTATAAAAATCATTGACAAATTAAGATTTCCAACGAAACAAGAAAGCCAGCTTCGTAATGAGGTTGCAATTCTACAGGTACTTCTTTGGTTCTCATTTGGGGGCTATAAAACCTCCTCTACTTCTGCAGAACACAGAAAAGTTACCCAAATATCTGTGGCATAGATATTTAGGAACACTTTAAAATAACTGAAAAGGCAGATGAAGCATCCAACTACTGCTCAAGTAGTATCTTTCTGGAGTCTAGGCAGCAGTTGCTCTTTATGTATTTAATTCCAGGTTTTAATATATTATTAATATTCATTAAATGGGTAATGTTTCAGCATTTGCTCATAGTGGACATGCTGAGACCATTTTGTTTCACATGACAAATGACCTTGCCTTCATAAGCATTCCTCCTCTATGCTGTGATAATTATATGAATTGCATATGCAACTGTCAGCATATCAGGTACGTGAGTAAGATATGTCTGAGAATCAGATTGTCTTGATTTTATCAAAGCCTTTCATTTAATATTGAGTATGTCAATTAACTCCTGTCATTAGTAACAGTCCCTTTATAAACAAGAATTTGTTATTAAAAGGTATTTTGTGGTATATATAATTTTTGTAATCATGAAAACTTTTTTTGTGGACCAAAGGGAAATTGAGCAAATGAGCAGTTGTTTGCTAAATATGGTCAATATAGCTGTCCAGTCTATGCAGTTTAGATCATTGATAAATGCCTATTTTTATATAACTGTTATAATTCTCTACTTATGCAAGCAGATCATAATTTCTAATTCATAGTTTTATTGGACAATTTTCATTTGAATATTCTAGGGAAATAAAACAGATTGTGTTTATTCTTTTATTGTGTCATTTAACTGCGATTTACTGCGTTTCATACAATAAGTTGAAAAACATGATTTCTACCCTAAAGGAGCTATGTGTACAGACAACCAAAAAATAATGCCTTCTATACATAGAAAAATAACAGACTTTTCTGACATCAGAATTTCTAATTATGGTGTTTTTGTGCCTTTGGACAACGAGTGTAGCACAGTGTTCTCTGCTTACATGAGGAAGAATAACCACAGATTTTAAGATGCTAGTTCATGGATTGATGGCTTAGTGTTTGCTAATCAGTTTCCAAAAAGAGATTTGTATTTTATTATTACAATTCTGAACTTGGCAACATTGAGCTGCAAATAACATCTAAAAATTTGGTAAATGACATCTTCCCACACTTGGCCTGTGCTCTTCTAGGCTCCACCCCCATGTGGTCTCCTAAAGGCAGATTTCTTTGCAAAGATGGTGTCTCCAGAGTTAGCATGTGTTCCAGAGACATTTATCCTTCTTTACAGGACATAAGAGGAGAGCGTTTCATGCTTAACATGGCTACATCTTTCTACATTTTATTGCAGAAGACAGAATAGAGTTTGAGGATCTAATTTTCTGAGTTTAAGCCTTCTAACTGGCTCTCCTGAGCCTGTCAACATAGTATCCACTGCTGACTCTGTAGTTAGGAAGAAAAATGAAATACACCTAAGTATAAACTGCCTCTCATCTCCTCTTCTAAAATATTAGATGCAAACAAAAACTCACATGCAATAAAAAGACATTTGGAAGAATTTTCATTATAATGTGGTTTTTCTAAAAGCAGTTTGGTTAGGTTAAAAGTTAAGTTCTGCCAATCAAGGAGAGGTCGAAAATCTCTCATAATATAGCCTAAAATCTCAAAAATCCTCATCACTTATCACCGAACCCTATTGCCCCCAACTATTCTTTCCTTCATTCATCAATCTAGTATTGTTGAGTACATGTCATGAGCTAAGCACTTTTCTAGATCCAGTAAATTCAGCATAAACAAAGTCATACATACCCTTGCTGTCAGGTCTTTGAATTGAATCACTCAGCTATGCCTTTAGTTGGATGCTTGCAACATATTATGTATTGAATTTTTCATCACATAACCTGTACAATGAGTCAGTGTTAGACTTGGCTTAATTGTATACAGATACCGGGTTCAGTACTTTATACTTTATCATAAAGTGGCCAATTATTTCAAAATAATTTAATCAAAAAGGAAACTCATCATGTCCCCCAATTGAAAACCAACCAACCAAAAAAATGTTTGAACCCCTTTTTACCATTGTCAACCTCTTGGGAAAAATTATAATTCAGTATACAGAGACAGTGAAGTTCAAGCTTATCTCCTTCAAGTCTTTGCTGACATATCACCATCTGTATGAGCACTACTCTGACATCTTATTTAAAATTGCAGTGCACCCAAACCCCCTCCCCCATTCCTACCGCTCTCATCCTGATCTGTTTTTTTTCTTTTTTCCGTAGCACTTATCACTTTTTAACCTATTATAGAATTTTACTTATTATATTTGTTGTGGGTTTCTGTTCCTACTCCCAACCTTGGCCCTACCACTAGAATATATATCAGGAGGGTAGATATCATTGATTTGTTTACTAATATATTCCCAACACCAGAATTAGTTGCTTAATAATAATTATTGGCTGAATGCATTAATTAAAGTTATACATAAACACACATAAGATGACATACGTAGTGTCCAACCAGGTAGCAAAAGATTGGACTGCATTTGCTATTAATAGTTAATTGGTTGGTTTGTTAAGAAGGATTGTGTATGGTTTGCTTTGCAAAAGCCATCTTTGCCTCAGTTTATATTTCTCATTAAAAGAAGAACTCAGCTTTTGGGACCTACCTGAAAAAGCAAAGTGGTAATGGGAATGGTGGTAGGGGCTGGAATCCAACTCACTAACTCTGATATGTTCAGAAAAAGTATCATTAAAGTCATTTGAATGGAGAGGAAGCTTTTCTTTTACTAATCTTGAGAAACAGAATTGTGTTCCTCTGGATATACAAGTAACACCCAGAAGCATTTGATAGCCCCCACCTTGTAGTCCTCTAGCTCATGGAAGCTGGTATTTTAGCATATGGTTGTCCCTAAAGTCTAACAAGTTCTGCCCAGTCCCATCGCTCCTTCTGATTTTCCAGAAGGGGACCATGGAGGTTGAAGTGGCTGATGGGAGAAAATTCTCATCCAGGTCGGCTAGGTCCTATGAGCAAATTTTGATTTGTTTCTGTTTTTGTAAAAAAGCACCTCATCTTGTAGAAGACTTCAAAGTTGTATAAATATGAAATGTGAAAAAAAGTAGAATTTTTTCTTTTTCCATTTCATTTTCTCTGTATAACTTAGTGAACTTTCCAAGAAATGATGCAATCATTAGAAAACTGAGCTCTTTAGATATTTTTGAATACTTGAAGTTAAGGCAAGTATGGATCTTATGGCATATCCTTTATATCTTATTTACATCATTTGGAATAGCTGTTTTCACTATCTGTAAATATATCATCATTATTAAATTTATTAAACATGAGTTTCAAAAGGATGTTAATTAATGTAGATTTTAAACTTATTTCACAAAAGTCCCATGAGATCCCATTCAAATTGTTGTTTTAAATTTTTTTTATTCATGTCAACAAGATAAGAATAAAAGGTTAGTTTTGTGATTATTAGGCATATCGCAGAAAACTGAACTTCATAGGGACATGCAACTATATCTTAGAACACTTAGAAACTTAAAATCTAGGGTCTGGCCAGTTAGCTCAGTTGGCGGTTGGTGAGAGCACGGTGTTATAACACCAAGGTCAAGGGTTCAGGTCCCTGTACTGGCCAGCTGCCAAAAAGAAAAAAAAAAGTAGCAGTTTTAAAATCTGAAGTAAATAATATTTGGTCTGATATATTTAGTATAATTTAAGTTAACAGCAATGGCTTGTTTGGTCAAAATGAATTTTTATTTTCTAACATTACAATATCATAATGCATAAAAAGCTTTGGAATAGTACATATGAATATAATTGTAATTGATATTATTATTTTCTCCTTTTCTTGAAGTGCAATATTTATTTATCTATATAAGGAATAATACTAGAGTTTCTATTCATGATACAATGTATGAAAGTATTTCGGAATTATAAAAGTACTGAATATAGCATAAAGAATAAAGGAAAAAATACAGGAATTTTACAGAGCCATAAATTAGATATGCCCTCTTGCACGTATGTCCTAAAATAGTAAGGGTAATTTTAGGATATTTAAAAACAGGACAACGGTGACAACAAAATGTGTCTAGGCTGCCCAGCAGAGCTAAGGCCCAGCCTCCCGCTTTCCGCACTGCTGCGCTTCAGATGGGTGCTCTTCCCTCTTTCATTTTTTGTTCATAAATTCCCTTCTTGTCCTTAGTTTCTACACCTTTTAAAAAGAAAATATGTGGCCCTTTTTGCCATACCCTTGATTTCTACCTCTACCCAACTATCACCCTCTGGCTAACTTTTAGTCTGTATCCCACTTGACTAATCTGTCCTTGAACAGCATTGGGTCATTTGTTCCTTTTTAAATCTCTCTCCTCACTTCACTTCTGTGTTTACCAGATCCTATTTCTTCTTCTCTATCAGCTTCTGCAACTATCTTCATGAAGTTCCCCTTCTCTTCATCTCAATGATTTATACAAATTTGGAACTCGTTCCAGGAGTGAGGTCATTCATTTTGAGAGTCATCTGTCACCTCTTCACAGGTTGTTCTTTGATATAGCTCTTGAGCTCTGATCTTTCACAGGCACTCAGTCTCACTTTTCTGTCCACAGGACATCTCCACTTGGCTGTGCCGCCCTTACCCCAAACCAACCAGCCTAAAACCAAATACTTAATTCAGTGTCTTTCCCCAGAAGATTCTCTCTCCCTTTATCTATTTTGCTATTATTCTTCCAGTTTCTTAGTCAAGAACTCTTTTCCTTCAACTAATGAAAATAGTAAGTCACTCAACAGTACCTGTGAAGCACCTTCTTTCTTTATATGAAGCAATCTGTTGGGCCTCTGGGCCAAATAAAAATGAATGAAACCCTTTAAGACATTTGTAATCTATTTGAGCAGTCAGATCCAAGTAGTTACAGGTCAGAATCACTGTGCAAGCAATGGTGAAAGAAGTCACCGGTAATGATTGATTCCAGGGCATAGGAACCAGGGAGAGCTTCAAATAGAACTATAGCACTGGTGAAATCTTG